GGGGGGGGAGTATGATTTATAATTATACGGTGATGCATCGTTCGCGACGCAGATCGTTAAAGTAAATAACGCGACTTCTCCACAGAGGGTCATTCACCGACAACTGCGCGGCTGCATAACAAGGCCGGTCGTGGTAGATAAAGCTCTTTTTCCGTTCTTAGACGATTTCTTCTCTTTCGTTCGTTTCATTGCCGCTTACTCTTCCCTTTAACCCCACGTCACTTCGCTGCGTATCCGATCTACCCTCTTGAATCGCGGCATCGCTGCGACTGTTTATCGCCGGGACAAAGTTATGTAACATTCTTTGAAAATGATTCATTTAGAAACGCGCGGATACACCTACTCCTTGTACGTGTCTAATGAAAATTTACATCCCGGGGGTGCATTCAATTTTTTTACGAGATCGCACGCGTATATTTAGTGATCGTATAACGAAGCTTACGTTTTTTTATTTCATTAAATTTGATTATTGGTCGGAATACCCTTTAAAAGCATATTTTGAGATCAGTTTGACTTTACCAAGCTCATATTTTGATTTTACAGAGAAAGAGGATATTGATGTTATGATAATTACTATACACATTAACTACTCTATCGTTGTTATAGCACTTGTATAGTACATTGTTTCAAAATATTAATATCAACGTAAAACAGCCTGTAATTATGGATCCGATTAACTCGTTCGTATCTCTATATAGATAATTATTTGCTTTAAGTTGACCACGAAATTATAACCAAATTTTATTAAGCTTTCTGAGAATAATTAATTTTACGATATAAATATAGAGAAGATACGTTATCTCCATTAGATAGATTTGTTAGATTTCCGATAATATAAAGCAATCGCTAATCAATAATCGATCGTAAGATGAACTCTGCACATAACTCTACTGCTTCTGGACATGCCGTATTGTTTCACAATTAGGTACATACGTATATATGCCTTTTCACACAAACACACGTGAGTCCGATGTTATTGCCTAATGGAATATAGTGCAATCGATATTTGATCAACGATAAACGCATTCGTGATATGAGTTTCCGTACCATAATTATCTTGTTGCTAATATACATCGATCTCTGACTAATAAACTATCTAAATGCCGGAATGTAATAGTATCAACGTTTGCTATTTTGCATGTTCTATTGTACAGGCGCTTGCATTTGTTAGTGTTACGAATTAGGTATGTTTCCTGGAATTAGGGACTGATTAATGAAAGCCTGTCAAATCGAGCGTATTGCTGAAGTCATTTTGAAGATGTAAACAATCTGCGTTACTGTCATCGATTAATCTGAACGTATTTGCAGAAAAAAAAATCCCGGTATCGGCCAGTATAATTTCGCGAACAGGTCTGTCGTTATTACGAGCCGCAAAATTCGAGGGAAGACATTTGCGAGAGACATGTCGCGCGTGTGCATGTACGCATGTACGGAATGCACGCGCATATATGCATGTACGAGCGCAAATGCATCAAGCAAGAACGTACCAGTTCTCTGTCCTTCAGCGAATATACACGGGCTGTATAAGCTTGCATTTGCACGTCATAACTTCGGCTACGCCAGCCGCGGGGTTTGTACGCGCCGTTAGCTTCATTTAAGACAGAAATTTCCGCCGAATATAGGACGACGATGGATTGGAATTCAGATGGTGGTGCGGCTCAAAAGACGTGGGTGGCAGTGACGATATGCCAGAGAGGAGCGTGCCGGACGAGAGGAGAGAAACGCGTGGCGACACGAAGCCGAACTTTCTGTGGCTATACGTCAGAGGAATACCCGAGCCGATACGCGCCGTCTCGCTCATCCGTTGGAGGTCTAATTCCTATCGCCGTCTGTACCTCAGTATGTGGTAATACACATAATAAGCTGCACGAAATGTACAAAGAGAAGCGCAGGTCGGCGCAGAAATGCGAGATATGCCGGTTACGAAGATGATGAATCATGAATGGTACACTGCAAAATAGAGGAGTCTCGTCTACATGCACTCCTATACGCGTCTGCAAGAGGCACTTCTTTTCTTATTTCTTAAACGGTATTATGCGATATCGCGTGCCCCGATGAATGTTGACTGAAATATCTGCGAGTGCCATTATGGTGAATTTATGATCAACGGCCCGTTAACGATTCTCCCTATGATAATACACTTAATTAAACAATGAACATTATATGTTCGATAGATTCATCAATTACCCATTGCAATACATTAATGTAATATTTAAACATTGATTGAAATGAGTTTCGAAATGAAATGTAATTTTAACCGTAATTATATTAATATGAGAATATTGATAAAGAAATTATCAAGAAAAAGTAGTAATCCAATTCATTTGCAATATTTTTATGTATTTTACCGTCGCAATTTTCTTGAGAGGATGATGATAATATCATGGAATATAAAAATAAAATAATCTCAATATTGTTACAGAAAAGTTTAATTTAGCCAAGAATATTAAGTTTAACAGCTTTTAACGTGCACAGCTTAAACGTGTTCTGCTCTCGTCTTTGATCAAAGCTGAATATGAAGATGTACTTACGAAAGTTGTGAACATGTAGTGGTATCTGTAGTCATTCATTTGCAGTTGCAATATCTGTAACAAATTAAAAGGAAAATTATATTTAGAGGATTTCACACAGTTGATATCAATTAAGCTTGATCGTGCCATTAATGCATATCACGATGAAAAGTATAAGTTATATATTCTCATGTTTTATTCCGAATATAGGTTCGATGTACCAATACTTTTTGACAATGTGGTTTCATGTTGGCTCTCGTCTCAGGTATAGATGCTTTATGTACATTCCGCGTTATCCTGCGTATATATTCCGGTATGAACATTTGCAAGACAAATATTATACCGCGTGTCGTTATTTCACTATCCAAGGATATTGATATTGCGTCCTTTGTAGTCCGATATAATTCATCGTTTTTCATTTTTCGCGGTAAGGCCACGGTCATGTATGTATAGATCGATCGAGCTGAGATGGAAGCGAGTCAGATAAAAGAGGTCTTGCGCGGATCTTCCCGGAAAAACCTCTTCGTGGAAAGGAAAAGCGGATGGGACGAAGCGGGCGCGCGAGGTTAAAAGGATATACGAGAGAACCGTTGCATGAAAGCATGGACGTTTTTTGATTACTCGACCGGTCGAGGGTTATCCTTGGAAATTCCCGTGGGACGCAACATGCAAATAACGGGCTTGCTTCGACCGCATCTGAGGCAAGATTGCTTCCCGGAGTGCCGCTGACAAGGTGGGAGATGAACGAAATCTAGTCTCTCTTACCCCCCACAATGTATTTACAGCCTTAATCTTTAGATTGCGAGCGAGTTTTTTCACATTTCCTGGACCTAAGTACTTTTCAATAATGCACAATCGTTTTACTTCTCGTTTTATATCTGTCCACAATTGTGACAACCTTGTAATTGCCTCATCGTTTATGATAGCGCAGTTTTCTATCGCACACACAGAAGATTACTCTCGTTTACTTTACACACTTTGCTAATTATGGGCTAGTTAATTTATCGCAATAAATTTTGTTCTAACATTCTGTACCTTTTCACGTCAGCAGTATTTATACGTGAGCTGCATATAATTACATTACATACATTATGCAGGACCGACCAGACGTGGCCATAATTTTATTTCGTATTTATATTGCACAATTCATCGTAAATTAAACACTGAATAATTTATGCGCTGTCATCCCATGTTCGTTATGTACATAAATTACGGCACGCCGCGATTTTTCTCACGGTATCGATGTGTCCTAAGTTATAATGAATAAACGTTTCGCAACGTTTTTTAAAAACATTATCTACATAACTGAGAAACGAGCCGATAACGCGTGAACAATCGAGGCGTGTATTTCCGGCATGCTGATCACCCGTCCGATTATGCAGATTTTTCTATTTGTCGGCCGCGCACGCAGCAACATTTCCAAAAAGTGTCGGGAATTGTGGAAAAACATCGAGCGCGCTTTTATCATTCCAAGCGAATGCAAAAATAGCATGCGATTTTCATGAGTTATTTTCACCGTTTGTTTCGTTACCACTGACAATTCGTGCAATTTAATTTCACGATTTGCTGATTTGCGTTGTCTGTTCACAAATAGGTGGTTAAATATTGCAAAACCATTGTCATTGCGAATTTAATAATCAACAACATATAATTAAAAATTTATTGCGATTTAGAATACGTATCCGTATTCTAAATCGATAAAGAAATGAATTATGCAATGCAAAAGACATTCAATCAACGTAAATTATTTTTTAAATATGATGAAGCTTCTTTTTGCCTTAGCACGAATTAATGCATGCATTATTTATTTATTATTTGCAAAGCATTTAAAAGTAATTTGTTTCAGCGGTTTATTAGATATTTTCATGATATTATAATTTTTATTACCGTCGCGAGTATTATATAACTGTGAGTATTATATTACTGTGAATATTATATTTTCTGTATATATAACTCAAATATTGCACAAAAAATTCTCGAAAGACGCTCCATCCATTATTAAATAATCCAGCGGATAATTCAAATACAAGAGATTACTTTAAAATTCAAATCTACTACACTTTGCGAAATACGCGTATTGTAAAGTGCTTTAAGATATGCTTTGAAAACGTTTTTTTTTTTAACTACTCTTCTTTCAGCATTTTTATTTCAAATCGACAGCTACAAAGCAGCAAGAAGAGTTGCTTCGGAAGGAAAAACTGCAACGTGCAGTCGCCATTAATCCTAATTACAAAAGTCCTTTTAATTTCCAAGTACCAAGTCCCTTTGCATTTTGAACAGTTATTTATGGGCTGCGATGCAACTCGCGCGTGTATAGATCTCTGTTTCTGCTTTCCCTTTTTTTATTTTATCCGGTAAACAACATGTTTTCCATCTACACGACCATTAGCTGTTTTTTTTTCACTCGCATTATTTTCAATGCGATTCTAACGATTCTAACAATATCTAAAAATTTTGAATAAATATTAAACTAAAATGTCTCGCTCAAAGGGAACGATTATTCACGATCCATGTGTGCACCTAAAACTGCATCACTCACGCTCGCTGTATCGATCGACAGTTTTCTGCGAGAATTTCTTCTCCTCTTTCAAATAAGTGCTAATGGAAGAAGGGTTTCTCATTGATGAAATGTTAATATTTTCCCTTTTGTAAAACAAATTTTTATGAACATTTTGTTAACACACGTTACTTCTGTTTATTTCAGAGACATTTCTTGACATTTTTCGTATTTATATAATAAATAGATACATGTTATATGTATAATAGATACATGTTATGTTATATAGTAAATAGATACAGAAATAGATACATGTTCAAATTTTGCAAAAAAAAAGGGGAGATTAACAAAATGTAAAAAGAGCTGCAAAACTAAATTATAGAACAAGTTATGACTATAATAAAATAAATTTAGCAGAGATTTTTCATTTGTTAACTGATATTTGGCAAGAATGAGAAATGATTGAATTCTTAAATAATGGTGTCGGTAAATTTTTATAATTTACGTTTGCATGGTCTGCTATTCTTTTACAATATTTGGTACTTTATTGAAAAAATATATGATATCCATCTATATAAAGCTTGTCAGATTTATTATGCGAGAGACTAAGCGGTGTGAAAAAAGGGGGAACGTATTATTCGTATCGTTCGTATTATGTCTTTTGAAAAATGTAGTTTTAACATGATACAAAAATGATTAATGTATAAACAAATAACGATATTTTTCGTGTACATGAAAGATCGATATAATATATCTAAACGTTCAGACTTCGTGAAACGATTGTCAAATACCGAATCGTCATAAGACTCACCGCTCGGAAGAATTGCTGCATGTGCGCCGGATCTGTGTCGACAATCAGTTTGAAGATTTCTTTGTGCCTGACCTCCCGCAGGCCCTGCCTGTAGGATGTAGGACCCGCCTGACGAATGTACATTTCAGTTCTCACGGATGGCGGGGATTTTACGAGATCCTGGAGTTTGAATAGCCCTGCAAAACAGAAGAGAGATATTTTTTTCGCGGCAAATTGGCCCTCTCGGCTGTGATGCCAAGTTTCACCATTGTGAGCTTGTTATTTTTTTTTTTAATATTTTCCTTCAGCATTTAAAGTGACGTTACGTCAACGAGGTATTTCAAGTTGATTGACGTTGCCTGTTACAGTTGTACTTATACTTATATGAACTCACGATTTATGTCGCTTTTATATCATTTATTGAAAAGCGTGAAAGAACCTTTTCATGAGTTAGAATAATGAAACGTTTTAATTATTTCTAAAATCGATACTTTTATTCGTTTTCATTCGTTAATTATTTTAACAATAATGAAAATAAATAGGTTGTTATAATAGGTTTATTATTCACAAATGTATTGTATGTTGTTAGCGAGAAATGAATGGGTGCTGTGAAACAATGGTATAAATATTCGAGAACATCTTCGCGAAACGTAATAAATAAAATAACCGATTTTCCGCGGAATGAAAATAGAAACCCTCTGCAATCCTCCACTCGTATGTTGTAATCTGACCAACATCTACGTTCTTGTGGAAATGATACGGGTTATTTTTACGGATATGGGGATTCAGACGTAACGTATAAGAATAGTAAAAATGGATTCTTGTATGACAAGAACTGGATGAGTTGTAAAACAGATTCATCGTTTGCCGCAATTGTGGCGAAAGAACGATGTGGAACGAGGAAGTTGTTAATTTGATTTACAACGAGATTTGCGGTACTCAACTATCAAGAGCGTGACTCTGATAGCGAACTTTTCATAACTACTTTTACAGCGTTAAGGGACGTTTGCGCAGATGTAGCTAAAAGGACATCACGACTTTCACAATTTACTTCCATCCAATTGTTCTTCGACTACTTCTTAAGTTGCACTGCCGACTCGAGATTTCTGTCGCGTGCACGGAATTCGTTACATACGTATGCGGTTACGTTCGCCACATTTATTGCCCCGGCGTCAAATTCACCGACGTCGATTAACTTTATAATCGCAGTTTGAGTGAGTCTTGTCTTTATCTTCTCGTTTCAATTATAGAGAAAAAAAAAAGGAATATTAATCACGATATAGCGTTTGAGTAATTTACTTGATAAAGTACTTTGACCGATTGTAGTAATTTATGTCTTTATAAAATAGAAGTTGAAGGACGAGTGAAAAGTGTTATCACGTCGACTTAATGTATTCAGCACATTAGACGCTTTCAATTTTCAAGCGGCAAACCTTCTTCGGACTTTACTCGAGGATACAAATCTGATAAAGTCGCAAGATTCTCGGTGCACTCCCACTTTTCTGTATTTCTGAAAGAGACTTCTCGGACATCCAGATCGGTGCCCGCCAACTTTGAGCTCGCTAATTACTCCTCCCGTAATGATCGTGACGAATAGAGCGACGACAAGAAAGGGATCGATAAACAGCTGAAGGACGACGAAAGGGAAGCGGAAGATAAATTTTCTGGCGCGTTAACGAGCGTAGTCTGTAGGGGAGAGAGCTGGCGCAAAATGTAAAAATGAAAAATGGTAAACTTCACTTTTGGAACAAATCGAGCAATTACGGCCGCTCGCATACTTCTTCTTCGCTTGTATACAAGATGCCCTTAGACTCGAGAACTTAATTTCAATGACAGTTTCTTTGATTAAGTTGGCGTTGATTTTTCCGGAGTGTTGAACCAGGTTCTCTAACAATTTTCCAACACTAATAACTTGCTTATTATAAGCGATTGAAAGAGTAAAACAAGCTTTACGAGACTCTTGAAATGCAGTTTAAATAACAAAATTATTAATTTCCGTGTATTTAAATTAAGTTTATTAAATTGAATTTATGCAAACAATTTTGAGTGAAGGAGCGGAAATACCTGAGATAATAAAGGGTTATAATGAAGATCGAGATTCTCTTAGAGTAACTTGTATATAAAAGCGAGCATCATACCCGACCAAGAAATGCGTGAAAGGGAAAGTAGGAAGATTACGCGGGGTAGTCTGATTTACAAAATTAACTTAGTAGATAGCAGCAGCTACACACAGAGTGTTATATCTGGGAATTTATGACTATTGCACGCAGGGGGAAAAGGCAGAAAAGAATTCAAGAAAAATGTATACTAGTTTTGTTTTATCATTCTATCATTTTGACGATCGCGTTTATGTGTGAGATCTCTTGACCTCGTTGAAGTCATAGACACAATTTTCCAATACAAATAGTGTAAAGTACTTTTTTCTATAAATTCTTAAACGTGAAAAAATATAATATTCTCACATATGCTGCCATTATTATTAAAGACTCAAATCTATAAATTGTTTGAAATCACTCATGAATGAGTAGAAAATTTTAAAACGAAACTAACAAATTTATATATAAAACCTATATATATATAATCTGTTAAAAAAATTTTGAAAAATTTTATCAAATTTAAGAGTTCCTTTTATAATGAGTAGCAATATTAAGTTTAACAATTAAACTTTTATTAGGAAACAGTGGGCGCAAATCTAAATGAATGCGCAGCTGTGCTCATTGCTTGCTCGCGGCCAAAGCGATAATTAATTATTCAAAATTAAAAGCGACTTCAACAGTTTCACGTATCGCGCTATATTGCACATGTAACGTTCTGCCCCGAAATTACGCACGTTGGCACGAGCGTCTCGTCGTCACGTTAAACTATTCATTATTATTTTACGCCGAAAAACGAAACTTTTCACACTCGGTAAAGTTTTAACGAACTACGAAACTAGGCGTTTCTCCGGCTATGAATAACTAAATGACAACGAGCGAGACCAGGGGGCTTGCCAAATTTGCAAAGTGCTCGAGAGGTTTATTCAAAATCTCGGAGTGATTCTCATTATACCAGAAGCTCGCTAATTAAACTTATTAAACTACAATTATCGTTCCAAAATTTACAAATCACCGCGTTTACTGAAACTGCAGGCAAATTCGCGCCATTCCCGATAGACGTCGACGCTACTTAACGTTTAACGACGTTTAAGTGAGCGACTATCATTGCATGTCCAAGTTTTAACGAACTCGTGAGACGCGGATTTTCTCGACTGATGAATATTTAGGCGATACCGAGCCGCGAGGATGTTACATTTCTCCGAGCGAGTTATAGTCGCGACGGCTTTCGACGCGCGTCGCTTTTACGACGGGGAATTTTGAAACGCCTTGTCCCATCCCCTCGTCGTGAATTTATGACCGGCTATAGACATCGAGAGGGGTAGGAGGGGGCTTGCGCAAAAAAGCGCTCTTTCCGTTTCCTCTCCGTTTTATCGCTAACGGCAACGTTCTACTTCGTGCTCCTGTTATACGCCACGTTACATCGTCCAATCAAGAGCGGCAATTTAGGGAAGATAAGGTCGGAGACCTCCCACTTTTTCCCCCTCGCAAGAACTATGAGGAAGAGGACTCGTTTCCCAAATGTATATGGTAGATTCGCGATATCCGTCATTTATTCTCATTCTTAAAATATTAAAAAGAGAGAGAGTTAATGAATCACAAACTATTTGCATTTTTCCAATTTTTCTTGATATACATATACGTGGATGAGAACACTTAAAATTTAAATTTTCTTGAATACAATAGCAATAAAACGACAATCTAACCGTAAATAGAAAGAAATTCTATTTTTTATTTCCGAATTCTGATAATGCAAATCGCGATGCTTTAAATAATTACTTTACTACGACGATGTGACCGCGATCTTTTTCCACCGAGGCAAATAAATGCAAATGCTATCTTCCCGGATAGACGGATATGGACGGAAGAGATGGCGGGCGAACTCATACATTTTCTCTGTATGGACGGCGATAGTTAAAATATACTAATGCGATTCGGAAAGAATGGAAATGGCGAGTGACTTCGGCGTGGATATTATACGTCAACGCCGCGTCGGAATTTCGATGAGTCGCCGCGGATGGTGCCAGCCCGTCGCGGAATGAAAATATAGGCGCCAAGAGGAACCGCGGGGGTGCCGCGACCAAGGGGGATTAAGTTGACGGCAAAAAGTGGCGAGGGAGCGACAGAGAGCAATCTCGTGAGCGCGGTCTCGTCGCGAGTTTACGTCGTCGTATGTAAACGCGTGCGGTACTTCCGCGTGCGAGTGACAGGTCGACATTTTTGGACGGCGCGCGGGACTCCACTTCCGGCGCCTGATTCCGACGTTCTATTTGCATAGAGACGCATCGTCGACACTGCGGAGAAACCAAAAAAAAATAAAATAAAATGAAATAAAATAAAATATAATAAAACGGCGTCTGCGTAACGAACGCGTCGACGGTGCTAACAAGATCGCCTCTTTCGCATATATATCCATGCAGTAATTTCCACGTTGTTGCTGTTATACAATGCCCGCTGGTCGCGGCAAAATGAGTTCCGTGCGGTCGGGAAATCTTTTAGCTCGGATGTCGTGCGTGGGAATGTTCGCATGTCCGTGCTCGCGGTCCAGTGCATATATCGCGTTCCATTAGAATCATTCTTATTACTCTCGGAGAAAATGTGTAATGTATTAATTAATCCTGCACAACGTGTCTGAATTATCTGAAGTCGATTGCTGCGCGATATGTAGAAATTTAGCATTATATTGAAAATAAGATTGAAAAATGTATATATTAATGCGAGGACCGACTCGTACAAAAATATTCTCGCTAAGACGCGTTGAATGATATACGCGGAGTTTGCGCGGATTCGAAGGATTATACTGCGACAGTTTTATTGTTCTCCACTTACCATAATCCTCTTCATAGATAATAGCCACTCTGGTCCAGTTTAGAAAGGAAATAAGGTCCTTGAACGCTTTGTTAAGATGATCTTGTGCGGGATATAAATTAATGCTGAACTCCTTGAAAGTGGGCTCGAAATCGACCCGCGCTTCAAGATGAGGAACGTCCAGTGCTTCACATATACTTTGTATGTGAGCACCTAAAAGTGGGTCAGATGGCCCGAAGATGCCTTGTACCGATCTGGATAATTGCTTGCAGGCTGCAATAAAAATTAAAGTAACTTGAGCAATTTAATATCAAAATCTGTAACCGACGTATATAATATTTTTTATATTAAATTCATCTATATTTATACATTTTACTCATGAAGATTAATTGCACGTGCGAAATTTTACCGGAAATTTTACCAGGAAACGGCATTTTGATCGTTTTTTAAATAAAATATTAAAAAACGCGTATATTCTTTATAAATTCATACAATTAAAAATTCGTCAGTGGACAAGAGTGTGTTTTCCAAAGTATTTCAGTAGCGCATTAAAAATAAATACGACAATATATACTGTAAGATGAGCGAGGAAGATGTCAATGGGGGCACGAGGGCGTGCTAAAACGGAGATTGGAGAACGGAGACTGGCTCTGACATATCAATTTCATATTTCTAGATGAAGCGCACTTGGAAGCCCTGTATCAGCGAAAAGCTGCGGTAAATTGACGACACACTCTTTTGGTTCTCGCTACTGTTCTTCCATAATCTTACATAATAGATTGCTATTTCAAAACTCTAGAATATTTTAGAAAAGTTAATAATAATGTACTCTGAGATGTTCCCTTTCTTAAATTCAATTAAAATGACATAAAAGTTTTACAAGAAGAAGGCCAGGTCAATATATCATGGATCCTGATCCCAATTTTTTTGATGAAACTAGAGGCAAAATAAAAATATAGTGTCCAAACATTTGATTGAATGGGCCTTAGTTTTCAAGTAAGAATTTTTGAAAAATCAATTTTTAAATAATAATATTCAATATTTAATAATAAAAAGCGATATATTTCTCTCATTTAACATCGGTATAGCTCGGTGAGTAAAGGGCTTACTTTCCAATCCGGGAGTTTATGTTTATTCCCTGAATGTTGCAATTTTTTTTAAATACATATTTTCATTTTTTTTCATTTTTTTATTACTGATATTGTAATGTACGACTTTTTTTGCATAAAAATTTGTATTTTTCCCCAAGCATTATTATAACCGATGTTGAATGAAAGAAATATATCGCTTTTTATTATTAAATATTGAATATTATTATTTAAAAATTTATTTTTCGAAAATTCTTACTCAAAAACTAAGGCTTATTTAATCAAACGCTCGGATAGTATATGTATCTTTATTTTGCTTCTAGTTTCATCAAAAAAATTAGGATCAGGATTCGTGATATACTAACCTGGCCTTCCCCTTATTAGTAATTTAAATGTATAAGAGACATTAAATATAGTGAAGTAGATTAAACATTATGACAAATTGCAATAATTTTTTTTGAGTTTTAATTTACGGGAGAATTGAAATACAAAGCAACTGCAAACGAGAATTTTTATTCACATTCTATCAATTTTTGTGTGAAACTAATTATTAAGTTTACTAAACTATAAAACTAAAACGTAAAAGTGATTTTTATTAAAGTAGTCAACTGAAAAAAATATAATAGATATAGGTTGCCCAATAACCAATACATTGACAAATAAAATCGATAATAACTCGTTGCATTGTTTACGTCATGTGTTTATTTATTTCAAAAATATCAATACCGTAATGAAAATAGATTAATAGAGCCAGTGAAAGCTGAATGCAGAAACAGGATTAAAGTACATACAAAAAGTATATTGTATAATAATATTAGTATGTTATTGGATAACTTTATCGAAGATAAATGTAATATATTATATAAGATTTACGATCTTTCGATATATATGCGTTCTCCGGTCAGCAGACGGTGAATTGATACATTCCTTTAACGGCTCAGTTTTCTTATCCATTATCCTTAAAGGGAAAGCCCTCCGGACTACGGCTTTATTTTTCCTTACATCGCAAATTATTCCTGGCACGCTTGTAAGGGAGAGTTGAATTGAAGGATGGATAAGTTCGGCAGTACTGCTACTCTTTCTGAGAATTCTCGCTAGCTGAGTTTTATGGCGCTATCTTGAATTATTTACAAGTGTTTCTTTGTTTTCATTGCGGAAATTATGACCCGCGGCACTACATTTCACGCACATCGCATCGTATTAATGTTTGTTCTCACGAAATTAACTCTTTGTGCGTTTTTTGTCTATTTTATTTATTCAGTAATATTTGTGATAATTACAATATCTTCTAATATTCTATTTATTATTAAAAAATATCAGATCGACTTGCGTAATAATTGATTAAGAAGAATATAAGTTCAAGAAAGTAATAATTGAAATAATTCTTGTGCAGCAGCATAAACGTAATATTACTCAGAAAATAAGCAATATAATAGATTCGTCGTTTCCTTTGTTAAAAGGAATAGATCCAGTAACTGTAATGAAATACTTTGAGAAAGGATACCAACGATTCTGATTAATTTATGATTGTTCTCAATTGTTCTTTTACGTAAGAAAAATCTACCGTGGCATTATTGTTCAGAAATACGTTGATAATAGGTTTATAGTCTACTTTTGCGATCCATTTTTGCATTCTATTAATCTGCTTTTGATGTAAAGCTTTCTGAGGCGATTACTTGGTAACAAAGGATATTACTTGCTGTATATCGCCAGAAGTATCGAAAATTATCAGCACGACACATTTCCGTCGAGCTGAAGGCAAAAGTAAAACTTGCTTTAAAAATGTTTATAAGGCGGAACTTTTGAAAATGATTCATTCGCGTAGAGATTGATTGGAACAAAGCTAAAACTATCGCCAGAAATATCGAAAATTATCGTGCTAACGGCAAAAGTAAAAATTGCTTTAAAAATGCTTTATAAGTCGGAACAATTTTTGAAAATAATTCACTGACGTAGAGATTGATCGGAACAAGCTAGAACTTATACGCTCACTTGGCTTGAGATTGTCAGCTACTTCGCTCCAAAACTCTTGTTATCACGTATGATACTTTTATTCACCTGATTAAATTGCCGAGATGATTCGTAAAAAGCGCAAACGTATAACGTGCCATTTCATGGAATGCACATTTTGTTGTCGTCGCTGAACGTTCTCATTGTGCTTCTCCGTCGTTGATTAAGTCGAAAAGTAAGTAAGAATCGCCATCTCGTTGCGATATCGCAGTTTCGTTTAACGAACTGCCGCTTATCCGTTTTGCGGTAATGAGTGCGACAGTTTCCGCACAAAGTACTTCGTCGGAGCTTTAAATTCTCATGACTTTTATGAGCTTAATATAATGCACCGTGCGATCACAATTTCGCGAATTATCGCAATTAAGATGTTGATATTGCTACATGTCGTCTTGAAGATATGCTCTTCCTTAATTCCTATAAAATGCTTCGTTAAATCACTTCGAACAATCAGTTTTATTTGAAGTTAACGGAGCACAAATTTTCGTACTGTATGAATTACTTGAAACAATAATACAAATATTTTTAAACAAAACGGGGATTATCTCAGCGTTATCTTTTTACGCAACTAATAGAACGAAATAAATGTATTTTTTCTTGTCTTGTTATATAACATCAGATTTTAATATCAGATCTGAAAGGTTAATTTACATATAAACTTCCTTCCTATATAAAATCTTTCGCTCTTTTTTTGCCAGCGGCAAGTTTAATCTAATTTTAGAAATTTTCAACTGTGTATATATTCCGCTTTTTTGAAATATAAAAACCTAATTAATGCAAACGCCACGTAATTGCGGTATACTTCCTATGATCATCGTTGTAATGCGGTTGAAGGATGATCCGGTAAACGTTCTATCTCGTTAGTTCTATTAAAAGTTGCATAAGCAACTGTGCGCTCGCGAAACTTTCTCACATAGAGATATGGCAGTTCGAATTATCAGGATTAAACCGACTGACAATGACGAGCTGCAAATCTCTTTCAAAAAGCTATCGCAAAGTCGTTAGGGGAATGGAGAGGCGGGACAGGTGGGATGAGATTGTCTATTAGGATTACGAGTGCAATGTGCGAGGGGAGTTTCTCCGTAGACACTGAAAAATAAAATCCAGCAAAATAATCGCTTCGTCATTTGGTTAGCTGCACGCCATTTCTGGCCGTAGCTCTCGTAAACGGAACCTCCCATTAAAGTGTTCCGCCTCGGTGGTCCGGGTCGCTGCTCCTTAAAGTTATCCAATCAATTTCCCTGGTTTAGATCTCTTCCGATTTCTATCTTCCTTTGTTTTCTACTTTCGCGGTGATCCGAGCGAAATTACACCTACGACGTAAACTTGAAAGGAAATTTGTACGAAGTCCCAGTTTCTACGGGAGCCCGGGAATCGACAATACTTATTTTGGGGCATGACGGAAATTAATAAAGAGCTATACACTTTTTATCACCGAGTAACTTACTTTTGTCTTCATACCGCGAGAACGTGAAACGAAAATTGTGCCGTGTATCTGTGGTGTTAGAGAAAAGTAAACTCTTCTCAACATAGCGAAAGTAACTTTTACTTTGAAACTTTTTGTTATTAACTATTCGATATTCGATGACATGTCAATTTTATAATTTTAACGATTTCAAATTACATAAAGATAAGTTGAATTTTTTTAATTGCTCTTGCAATTTAAATGCCTCTCTACCTCTTTTTATACTTTTTATCCAATTAAATCTCTATTGAAACAAAATGAATAAAAGTATACTTTAATTAAAATAAAGGTAGTAATAAAATTGATTTATTTAGTTGTGTTCAATGTATTTTATTTTTATAGATTATAGTGTACTATGGAAGAAGAAAATAAACAGTTTAGTCTTTATCTTTATTATTGCCAGGGATACAGCAATATTGCGCTCTTTTGTAATTGCCTCAACAATCGACCCGCATATGATTTCATTCTTCTGTGAGATGTCACAATACTTTTGTAATCCGTACTAGATGCCTTCAGAAATTCATAGAGGATTTTCTTGAGTTGAGTGTTTCGCCGCGAATTCAATTTCCCATCGAGACTTTGTTCCTCGTTCCTCGTCCCGGAGAGCCCCGACATAACAGTGCGGAAAATAAAGAACCTTACGTAACAATTTTCTAAAGAATAACAGAAGGAAGCCGCGTTGGGGTTCTCTAAAATGTAACTTCTCTATATTTGATGAAAACACTCTCTCTCGTTCGATAAAACTGATTACACGCGAGAACTTCCTACTTCATAATTTCAATATTCTACAATTTTAACATACCGTAAAATGAAAAGAATAGTAGGATTAAAAAAAGTTGTGTTTTTTTTCTTTGAAAAGAAAATATATTTTTTAGTCGTTAAATACATCAAGGAAGAACGGCGTTTTAATTCCTTCATTTAGATTTCATAAATATCCGATCCTGCAGCCACAGTCGATTTTGCGCGCGGCAGAGTTTCAATGCATCTGAAAATTTTCGCATGAAGAAATCCAGGGCGCGGACACATTAGGCGTAGAAAATGCAAACGGCGTGAGCATCGGCCGCGATTACTTTTAGGCGAAATGCATCACGGCATATTAGGCGCGAGTCAACCGAATTCGGGCGTATACGCAACATTAAACTCGCGCGGAGATCCACAGAAATGAGAAAATGTATACAGGCACCTATCCCGGGCGGCATACACGGGTGAGATTTATCGCGGGGTGAGCCGGTTTTACAAAAGAAAAGTTGGAAAAGTTGCGCCGTTCGACACGGTTCAACCCCCGTCCGCGAAAGAGGAAACGCAGCGGTGAGAACGGCCGGAAGGGAAGCGCGGAGTAATCTTTCCAACCGTGGATATCATTTTAAGCGCGCCGTGGAGGAATAAAGTGCGTGGCTTCTCGTTACGCATAATGGGATTCTATAGGCACATTTATGGCCAAATACTTTCCCCTTGGGAAAACCTAAGAGGGTGTAAATGGCCGCACGATCCCTCGGTGTTTTGAAAAAAAAAGAAGCGCTGGTACATAAAATATACACTTCTCATTTACATGTTATTTCAAATTTAGCTATTCATATAGCCGAGATGTGAATTGTTTTCTGAGCACAACTTTATAAAAATTATTTTTATACGTCTTTATTCATTACTTCTGTTCATTATTTTTATATTTGTCTTGGATACTAGGTTTTGTTGCAGTCATTCATTGTTCTGCTCTGTAAAAAGAAGAATGAACGAAGTGTTGACATATATTTTAGTGAACTTAGAATTCGCGGCATAAACAGAGGGGCCCGTGACCCTTTTTATCTCGCTCGTTCAGTGAGTTAGGAATCTTCCGGCGCGCCCTTCAAGAAGAAAATTTTATGTGCTCCCTGGATAGTTATATGATTTAATGCTTGGGTTTAATCGTTGCGCTATATTCGCACGGTACGTGTGTATAAGAGCGGTTCTCCGGCTTTCGAGCTTACACAGAATCTTCTTTACACGAAGAAAATTTCGCCTCGCTAAACGTCGATCGTACACATCCTCAATCATACTGGGAATATCTAACTATTATTAAATCCGTGATCATGTTTCTTTCGGACAACAAAACGGCTTCTTCATCGTCTTCGACGTAGCGTAACTTGAGAGTCGCTGGGATAAACCAAACAAGTGGAATCTCTACCACGCGGTGTAGAATTTTGTAAGAAAACACATTTCGAAGAGACATTGCTCCGTGGCGAATTCATAACCGGTCGTGCTCGTTGCCCGGAGATTTATCCGCCGTGCTCGCGATTGCGCGAGAGACATTGTTATGGTTTCGGCTCTCGGAGTCGATCCGGTTTCGTGTTATTTTACATAAATCTGAAGCTACATCATGTCGCGTGCGACGTCCTCGCGCTGTAATTCACGCTATAGCCGGCCGCTAACTGAATTGCTTTCGCTAGGCTTCCTGCCAACTTTTAAGCTCGCGTGTCAAAAGCGTCCCCACTGACAGGAGATTCACGTCATGCTCTAACCGCCGGTCTTTTGATCATATTAAAATGGGGATTAAATTAATTAATTAGCTGATTTTAGCTGGTATCGCGTCACTATTCATGACCACCACAGCTTACACGCGCTGGCGAAGTAGATTTCTATGCCGTATTTTATATATTATAAATTGTATGAACTATAAATACATTTTGATTTATATTTGTATTATACTCTTGCACTTAGTGCTGTACGTAAAGCATGAATTTAGGTCATCATTTTAAATTCTACATCAATTGAAGTATTCTTGTAAATATGTATGTTACTTGAAAGTCAACGAATAATAATGAATGAAAATTTAATAGTAGTAAAGAGAACAAATTTTTCGCGTAACAATTTGAATTACTGTACGTACATATTTCTAACATCAATCGAAATCTTTATTTATCGACATTTTTATTCATATTCTTTTATCCTTATCTTGTAGCAGTGTGTTTTTAATTTTTAAGTGTCAACCAATTTTTCATTTCGAATAATTTATCTTCATATCTTTAAATACACAGTTTGATGAATAAGCATTCTGTGACGCAAAGCAATCGTTTAAAAAGGAACATGATTTTTTTGAAGCGGATATGACGCAACCGAAGCCATGCCAAAATATCAATCATAGGCTTTCATGTGTACAGGATACGTCGGATCAGTCGTACTTTTTTTAACGCTTTTTCTTTAGTGCTGTAACTGAAAATTGTAGGTGCAAAGTTTATCTAGTAATAAAATTGGATATTTTTAAGTTGACTATTTTAGAATGTGTATTATTTTGATGTAACATTTGAATATAAATCTGAATATTAATGCTTTATTATATACATATGTATTCAAATCGATGACATTATGCAGTATATTGAATAAATTTCTGAATACAATTATTGTGTCACCAAAGATAATGCTTAACTCATTCAACTTTCTCAAAAATTATTGATGAATTTCTTATTGGTATATAATTGCAATAAAAAAATTGAAAGTGTATTTTTATTACGTTATTTACAAAAAACTGAAAGCGAACTGATTAAAAAATAAGCATAATTACTGTAATATTTTAAAGCTGTTACGTTAAAATTAATGTTGCAACTGTCAACTATGTTATATTAATTGAAAGTTAACCACGTTATCAGTCATTGTCACCGCCTACTAAATTATCGCTGTCGTGTATCTTGTAGATGCAACTTATGAACAATAATTTAACGCTATAAGAAGTTACTTGTAACTTTTGTCATTCTATCTAATTGCCATTGTCTTACTCTTTAATGACTACAATTTTGTTTTAATCGTTTTACAATAATTTGGAATCCTTACAAACAGTAATATTATAATCTATTGAAACGTATATTATTAATTATTAATAACGATTTTTTTTATTTATTAAATGTACTTAAGAGACAAGTGTTCGAAAGCACTCAATTTTTATTAAATAATGGATTCGTGCCTTATCAATATCGCGATGCATGGATATGTTCTTATGAAGATATAAAGATTATACTTGAGATACAGATATGACTCTCGAAGAAGATGTAGGATAGATGATACTTATTCAAATAATATATTTAATCTTTATAGGATAATACTGTTCGTTACTTAATTACGAGGCCATGTTGATTAGCTCCCTACCTTTCTTAGACGTGCGGAACGAATCGTCTTTAGGCACATATTGGATATCGTAAACCAATGTCGTGTTCGCCAAAAGAGCCTTATCCTTGTTGATTTTGTAAATGGCGTATTTGAAGGCCAACTCCGACGGGCTATCCTTCTGGTCCTCGGTAAAGATCGCTCCTGTAACAATTTAAATAAACATCTTCTTTAAACGTTAAAGTTTTTAATTTATATCCGGGACTATATAATGTTACTGCAGTCATAAATTATTGATTTTAGACACTATCTAAATAACTGCGTTGATAAGATATCACTTTCAAAAATGCCATAACGATAAGTATAATGTTGAAACATAAACTTTTTTTTCAGAAAAAGATACAAATATGAGATATGTAAGAATTGTTTGTATATGTTGAAAAGTTAGGAATTGAATTAAACTTATTCGAAATATGTATTTTTGGTAAAGAGCAAATAAATTTTGTGATTAATTAATACATTTTATTAAAGTTCTAAATTTATATTACATATCCAGAGGAAAAATATTGGAAATGAAAGAAATTAGAATTAGTTACAAATCGATTTTGTTCACAATTTAATTCTATTACAAATTATTAATCTGGTCTAGTTTTATAAATTTTGCTATATTTTATCTTTTAGCTAACTAACAAATTTCGATACATTTATTAATTGCCTATTATTTTATTAGTGAGAATATATTATTTTATTCCAGAATTATGTTATACTTTTGAATTACGAGCGAAGTTCCCGGGGGACATGCGTCCATATCAGAAGCAGAGATGAAACTGGTAAGACACAGACGGATCCGAAAAGAAAATTCTGGCGCCGCTAAAAGAAACTGAATTCATTGAAAGTTATAACCGAGTTCGTGAACTTGCAATAACGGCGATCTCTTCCGTATCTGTCGTACATATATCTACCTACATATACAACGGTAAAGTACCGCGCGCGATTCTCCCCTAAATTTAATTAATGACTTCACCACGGTGCAGCTCACTTCGAACGCGAGTTTTAATTAAATTCGAATAATTACCGCGGCCAAAACCGCGCTCGCGATATCAGGAAGTACTTCAGCGGAAACGTTCTCGTAAACTGAAACGTTGACTTTGTGTCATAAATAACTCAACATCGAAGATTGCGCTTAGGCAGTCGATAAAAATTGTTTGAAGTAAAAAAAATGATGGCTTATATGATTGGTAAAACGTTTAATTGATCCAAAATAAATACCTATTGTAAAGATTATATTTTTATTCCTTTGATAAGATTTATTTGTTCAGATATAGGACATATTGATTAACAATGCAAATCAGTAAAAATATTTTTAATTGCCTATCAGTTTGTCAGTAAAATCATACTCGTTTTTTCATTTCTTTCTAAAATAGTGAAAATTACAATTAGCATGTTCAGCGAATAGAACGCTTGAACTTTTTTTTATTTTTATCGATACATCCGAATATCGTGCTTTTTAATATTCTCCTATGCTAACAACTATACTTTTGTCAAAATATTCAAGCTATAATATGGAGTTATAATTGGCTGCTTTCTATTTTACATTGTCCCTCGCAGAAAATTTCGGAAAATGCAAATCTTCGTTTAAAAGCAGCTCGATTGAAGGCGCTTTATCGCTCGACAATAGCTTAACTAATAATGCATGCGGTACATTGATTTTCTGTTCTTTACATTGTTATCGTTTTTATGACCCTGTTAATTAACTTTCAAAAATCTCCTTTTTGTCTTTATCGTAAATTCATTGAATAAAAAGCTTTTCAAAATGATACCATTTTCTACATCGGCTTTATTGCAACTAATCCATTTCGAAGTAATCCAACCGTTAATCTCCAAAAGCACTCTTCGCTCAGTAACTTCAATTTTCTAGCTCTACCTCGCAGCACGTGGCCGCTGCAACCTTTGAGTTTTTACACGGGAGATCATTCCTTCTTGAACAAAAAGAAACGGGCATTTTTTTGTGAAAGAAATTCTTAATTATATAATTGAGTTAGAGATATTTTAGATTGATATTCGCCTAGGTATATTAAAAATAATATCCGTTTGTAAAAAATCTGCGTAAAGTGAATAATTATTTAATCAATGTGCGTACTACTCATTTAAAGTTATGTAAAGCTAACCATTTAATTTAAAGTCTAATTATTAGTTTGTTAAATAGATTTAGTAGAAGATTATATTATTACGCAGCAACGCAATTTTAGAATAATTATCTTAATTAGAAGCGTTTACCTTTTGTTAAATCAGATCCCTTCTAATTGTGTTTCTTACTTCATCAAACTTCAGAATAAAGCGTATACGATATTGTTTTGCAAAATCTGATGTTACCTTATGTTTAGTTTTTGAAATATTATTCAATAATATGAAAAAACTTGCATTTAATCATAACTCATAGACACGCAAATTTATCTTCGTTACGTTCGTGGAATTCTGTAAGGAATGAAACTCTTTCGATGCCAAATCAATCTCCGTCACTCGCTTAGAAAGAAATCAGCGGTTCCGTGCAGTCAATTAATTATTTTTAAACGGTAGAAGCTATTGGTAGAAGCTATTTTACGCGAATGTTCACTTTGAGTACTTTTAATCTTTGTGAATTTACTCTGTCTGAATATTCGATTATAGAACTCAGATTATTACTGTGTAGGATGTCAATCCATTTAATATTACAAAAGTCAAAAGAGTTCTCGTCGATCAACGTAGTATTTTTATTTAAATTGATTATTCTCATTTTGATTAATTTTTACATTTTAAAAATTTTACATTAATTCTTATAATTTGTTAATCTATAAATTAATTTCGAGAAGGTAATACATATAATAATTATAGCATTTAATAAATTCGTCTGTTTTATGTGAGGTATTGCATTACGCAAATGATATTTTATTTCACGAATAATATTTTAGTAGATAACATTTGGTAGAAGTTTGTATGGTACTTAACGCATAGTTATGCAGTAGACGATAATCAGGTCATATCTGATTCTCTCTTCAACTACATTATAATAATCGTGCATATTCTACTCAACAGCTGCATTGTTCTCTCGGGCGTCTCGCGGAATACACGAATAGCCTTCATATTTTGGTGACGGTGATTTTACCGTTAGGAACGATCAACTTGAATGGCTCTCTTGGAGATCGTTTTGTCTCTTCCTATATTAAGACATTTTTTTCTCGGTTGTAACAATTGTTGCTCGCGTCATAATTGATTTAAAAAGTAAGAACATAGCGCGCTACAATATACACACAAAAAATATTCTACAAACTTTAATTTTCTAATTTTTCTTTAATTTTCTATAATTTTCTTAATTTTCTACAAACTCTAATTTTCTCTTAACGAAAACATATTTTCATAGAAAACTTTAAGTTCACATTTTTCTTCCGCAGTGCGGAATAATTATGTTTTAATACTCAATAATGATTATATTAAATTAACAAATGCAGGTGTTTGATTCCGTACTTTGATAACGTATTTAAATTAGTTAGGAACCTAAAAACAAAATTTATTGACGATAAATTTATTCTGTGAAGTATTCGAGATTCGATGCGATTGCAATTATTCTCTATAATAGGTATCAATGATTCATTATTTATTAATATTTGTAATTAATGACTCGTAAATGTATTAAGGTAATAGGCATTATATCGAAACAGTCTTTCATGCGATTTATTTATATCAGCAGAAATCCGAGCTAGAAGGATAATTTATATTATTTATAATTTGGCAACTTTTTGCTTTATTCTTCCATCTTTTGCGACTGGGAGTGCCGTGTATGTAATATTAATCGTGTTCTCTAATAATTAATCTGCGAATATGCAACGAAAAAACCTGAATATTTAAATATTTTTTACGGTTAAATATTGTATAGAATAAAATGTTGCAAAAATAAGATTTTTATACACGTGTGTAAATGAAAGAAACATACATTACGAATGAAACAGAACATGTTTTATAATTATACATAGCATATATTTTAAATTAATATATTTAATGAAAAATGCACAGATAATTATTAGTTATATTTTTATATGCTTCACGTTAATTTTGTTTAATCTTTCCTGTCGGTATAAACCTAATAGTTTGTCCATTCAAATTTTGCTATTTTGCAAAAGTGTATTAATTTCATCTTTTAAAACAAACTGTGTAATATGAGATTAAATATTTTAAGGCCAAATAAAAAAGAAATTTTATATAATTTATTCTAACGCTAATTATATATATTAGTTAATTAGTCATATTAAAATAATTAATAAAATATGCATTTCTTTTTATATACCTATTATAAAGTTAAAAGTAATTTAGGTATCTTATTTAGAAAATATATTATGATAAGAAATTTACATCAATGTAAAAACTATATATTGCGAAAATATATACATATTTATATTAACATTAATGTAGCTTTTGCACGGAAAAACTGTTATTTATCTTGGTTTCATTTTTCATTATCAATTGTGAATTTTAAATATTATGACAATTTAGTGCATGATCACGTTATCTCATAAAATGCAATTATCCCTCGCGTATAATTTATTTCACGGTGAATAATTCGTGAGCGTGTCAGAGCGATAACTGTTTATCAAAAAGTATATTATGTGATTTCTTTATTTAAAATAAAAATCGGAGTAATTTTATAAGTGTAAAAACCTCGTTTCTCTACAACGAATGGAATTTTCAAACCTATATTTTATTACTTAAATATTTCAAAAAATTAACTGGTCAATACGGCTTTAGCACAGATCAAGCCGTTCCGTGTATTATTCTTTGAAATGCGATTATATCTCACGATAAGCAATTATTCATTCTATCTTAATTACTTTGGGAGTAATGTGTCGCGCGATCAACGTAATTAACCTCGTTTTCGTTTTTTTTTGTGCAGAGTGAGTGCATCAGAATTGGAAACCTAATTTCAGAATAGGAGGAAAAGGAGGAACAGAAAGAGAAGATCTAGAAAAGGCAGGATATAACAAAACGGAGAAATCTAGGGGTAAATAAATATAATTTGTATTATTTAAGAGTAAAAGTTTAAAATTTGTATACTTTAATAAGAGATGAAGAGAGAGAGAGAGAGAGAGAGAGAGAGAGAGAGAGAGAGAGAGAGAGAGAGATACTTATCAAATATTTGCAAAAATAAAAATTGCAATTTTTTAAATAAAATCATG